CCCCAAAACCCCAAAACCCCAAAACCCCAAAACCCCTTAAAATATTTGGGATTGTAAACTTTAAAAATTTAGAAATGGATAATTCCAGGAAGGGCTCAAGGAGAGGCTCTTTTGAAGAATCCCTCCAGTCCCCGGCTAGCAAGAGAAGTTATTACCATAAGAGCGTACGGTCAGGAGGGGAGTATATGAATAGAGGACTTGAGAATCTGAATATTACTGGGTCACTTTATAATGAGAAGGTTGAAGAGGCCAAAGGGAGTTTTATAGATGGTAAGTTTGGAGAGAAGAGGGGAGGATTTAAGTGGAATTTAGATGAGAGGTCACCGAAATTACGTAGAAAGGTTGGAGAGTATGCCAATTCTAGTAAAGATATATTTGGAAGGCCTTTTACTTCGAATCAAGCTAAGAGAGTTGCATCGATGAAGAGACCGATTAGGCCTAGTACTTCAAAGCCAGTGAAGCAGCACTTATTGAGAAAGGGTCGTACAAAAGTTTTAAGTCAGGAAGAATACTTCGAACTTCAAAATTCTGAGAAATAAACGTGTAAACAGAAAGTCAATAGGAGTTAGCCAAGTGTCAAGGTAAAACCTAAAATAAAGTTCTAAAAATGTGATAAATTTCAAAAATCTTAAATTTCAAAATCAAACTTACCAACCATTTTTATCTAATCTCCCTTCCTCTACCACCGTTCATCCCCTAAAACTCCCTTAAACCCCCTAAAACCCATCCACTCCAACCCTAACCACCCACAGACCTCCCAACTGAATCACCATCCTAGACAAACCAACTCCCCAAGAAGTGCCTCACGAAGAGACCAAAACCCCCGACTACGCCCTCGAGAAAAAGGCCTCTCTCGTACAAGACAAAACAGAAAAAGTCGAAAAACCCAAGAAGCACAAATAAAAACAAAAAAGAAAAGAAGAGCAAAAAGAGTAAGTCCAGGACTGACAGGAAGAAAAAGAAGAAACATAAACACAAGCACAAGCCGAAGGAGAAAACCATCCAAGAATTAGTCGAGGAATTTAACTTTGCCGCTGCCACTCAGGACAACAGAGAAAGAGCACATTTTGACAATGGAGCTGAGGGTATATTTTTAAGAGTTTATTGACTTAACAGAGCACTGGATTGGCTGGGATTTGGACTCTATCATTGATCAATACAGGTTTATAGTCAAGAGTATTATTATGGTGGTCATGACTCTGAGATTACGGGTATTGTTGAAACGGATATTGGGAAAAGCACCAATTTGTACCTTAAAGAGACCCTCCTGGTGGGATATACTTATTATGATGCAGATGATGTTGATTTGATACTTGACGAATTTGGCAAATTTTGGCAGGGGTGACTCTATGATCCCTTCAGACATAACTGTAATGACTTTGCAAGAGCAGTTATACAGCATTTAGCTCACGAGGAAGGATGATATGAGTTTCCTGAATACGTTAATAGATTCAGTAAATTTTCTTCAGTCTTGAGAGTCTGGTTTCAGCCTCTTAAAAACCTGTTCGGTGATATTGTCAATGCTCCGGATGGTAAAGATGAAGGAGAAGGTAACGGTGAAGAACTAAAAGGAGATATCGAGCAGGGAGTTTATTACCAAGAAAGAAAAGATGATGAATATGAAGAAGTAATGACTGAGGTAAAAAGGCTAACAGAAAAGTACAACTCTTTTTATCTAACTGGGTTCTATGAAAACTCAAAGAATACTGCAATTGAAGTGATAGATCTCCTTTCTAGATATTCTAACGCTATTGATGAAATAAAAGATATCCGTCTAGCAACACTTTTCCATCTAGCAACTTGTTATCAGAAACTAAATGAGATTGAAAGAATTATCGAATGATGCACTGAGTGAATCTCCATTGATCCCTACACAAGCAAGTATTACGTTAAAAGAGGCAAAGCCTTAGCCAATTACATGAGTGATTTCTCTGGAGCACTCCAAGATCTCAACGATGCCTATGCTCTAGATCCTTCAGATCCAGTCATTAGTGAAGAAATAAAGAAAGTATGAGAAAAGCTTGAGAGAGAAAATGAGGATAACAACATCGGGAATCCTAATTAACACCCATTTTCAATAATTTCGCACCAGTCAGGGGTTTTGGGGTTTTGGGGTTTTGGGGTTTTGGGG